GACTGGAGGAACTGTAGCTTTCCTATTCGTGACGTCACACTCCACTGAGTTTCGACGCTCACCATTGCAGTGAAGGCTTCTTTAAACCCTGCATTGGAAAAAAAAGTATTAACTCGTCAGTAAAGAATCCGAATCCCATTGTTGCGATACGCAAAAGAAGATGACGTTAAGGCAGTGGCAGTACACTGGGGACTGGCCGAGGCCTACCATGTCTCCACTTGGGGAATATCGTGTTTTGAAAATTGATTAGTACTACCATTTCCTTCTTTGAGGAGTAGAAACGCAGTCTTTATATTGATTACACTTAACAGTGTGAGTGAGCAAAAGTGGTTTCCCACGTTGTTAGGCCCAGGGACCACATGGGCACAGAAAAATCCGTCACACCCAAGGTTAGATCACTCTGAGCGACCAATAGATATCGATCCCGATTCATCGAAGTGAAACGACCAGCTTCACATCGACGACGACCCGACCGACGACCCGACCGACGACCCGACCGACGACCCGACCGACGACCCGACCGACGACCCGACCGACGACCCGTCGTCGTCTTCTAGAGCATCCGAATCCGGAATACAAGCTGGCGGTTGCGCCCCAGTGGGCCGAATCCTTTCGCCGACGGTAACAATAAAGGCCGACGGCCTTTCAAATCGGCACGAGATCTTCGACTGCCGCGTCCGGCCTAGTTATATTTTACCAAGTAAAATGGTCTCTGGTCTAATCATCATAAAGCCATTCGAACCATCAGAAACGTAATAAATCTATGAGGGAACTTCCACAAGTTTGCGTCTTTACTTAGGTCTTCCTATCTTTTTATTTCTCTGATCGTTGCAGTAAAGGCCTATCCTCATCTCGAGGAAGGACAAGGAATCCCGTCGGCTTCCTATGGTACCTCTTACGGTAGGGTGACCAGACGTTCCGGTTTTATTGGGAATGGCAGGCACCATGATGATAGAGTGGCGTAGCCCCGAGTCAGTTGGGATCGGTCGGTTGTCATAGCCGCCCTGTGGTCGCATTGCGCTGGTCTACCGTGCTCACAGCAACAACTTCTCCATAGGCGATTTTTTCTACAGGCCACAAATGGCACCGGCTGATGACTATAAGGAGAAAATGGACTATCGGCCCACGGTCGGATGTTGCCACCGGTACAGCCCTACTCTTGAATGGTTTGTCTCGTGTTGGATCGACTTTTCTTAAATTGGATCGATTCAATTCAAGGAAGGTCATTAGGTCGCCATGGGGCACTAGGAGTCACCTTGGGTCGCCATCGATCACTGCGTCTCGTCGGGTCACTATGAGCAACTTCAGCTTAATTTTGGCAACGAGCGCTGCAGAAGGAAATAAAATCTTTGAAAGTTACACAACATACGAGACGCCTCTTTTGATATCTCACCTTCTGGCGTGTCTGCTTTTGGTCTGTACAAACAAAAATGAATGCAGACTCGACTGATTGCTTTTCACAGGCTTTTTGCCATGCAGCGCTCTTAAAAATTATAGAGTCGTATTTAAGCAGCTGAGACATCTTTTTAGAAGAGTTCACACTAGCCAGCAGCTAACACCAAGTTGACGACGATGATCTTAATTAGAAGAGGTGAAGGGGTTTGAAGAGAGCGTTCCCCAGGGGCTAGACGGAACTAATCGCAGACGATTAATTTCGATCGACCGAACCGTCAGGATGGAAAAGGAGCAGTGAGAAAACGCTGCCTTTCCAAGAACCTGCAGCAAGGGTAGCATGACGAGTACGTTGGATGAATCCTTCACCGAGCCGCGTCCGCAGGAAGTAGCAGAGGGGAAAAGTGTGCAGGAAATACCGTTCGCATGTTTTCAACTCAAGATGAAAGGAGTAGGTCCTTGGGAGCCGCCGTGACGTCTTTATGTCCTCCATGCTCTCTGCCGATGACGCAGATGTGGTACGAGATACGATGGTGTTCTTATCTCTGGAGAATGCCAGAGATCAACAAGGAGAAAATTCTCGACCTAGGTTTGACTAATATTACGTGTCGCGGGCGGAAAGAAAAAGAAATGGTCACCTCACTCACTGATTTTATCGTACGAACGAGCTTACGTGCTAACAGATAAGGATTTAATTGCACGAACGACAGACCTGTATATTCTTGTCTGGGTGAATTCAAGGATGAATTTCATCCTTGAATTTCATCCGTCATATTTATAAAATAATCATATCGTAAATTCCATTCAGTCTTCAACGATAAAGCATTTTTGGAAGCCCTGTTACGAGTCCAAAACGTGTTAGCACTCACCGAGATCGTAGACCATGACAGATCTGCTCGACAGCGGAGCGAGTTTTGAGCCCTTTCTGCGCATGACGTCACGAGGTTGAAGAGAGCGCTGCGTCGTCTGCTACCGCATCGTAGAGGTCGCAGGAGAAAACATTCGGTCCGCGCTCCGAGTAATAGTTACATTTCACCATGCATTTATTTGGGTCAATATTTGCTAGAGTGAAGTAATTCAAATCAGGCAGGATGAAGAGACGTTGTATTCGAAAGGAAATTTGATCATTCTCATAGTCTATTTTCTTCCAATCTGTCCATTCTTCGACTCATCTTCTTCACTGACTTTTGTGTGTGTGCACAAAGGTGTGCATGACCTGGGCATGCACACCTTTGTGCATGGGTGTGCGGGGCTGACACTTCTTACTTCATGTGATCAATTAATTCTTTTGACAGCCTTCTTCCCTGTAATCAAAGTGTCATCACTCCCGTAAAATTCGTGGAACATTCGTTCTATGAACAAACACTGATTTAAAAAATCCATATTCGGACTCGTTAAACTCCCTCGTGAAACGGCGTCCATCCAGCTTCTTCCCTCGGAAAATGACTCTCGTATCTTGAAGATCAGGACACTTCAATCAATGACAGAATACTGTGGTATTTCACAAATCATTGACGCTCATAGTCTTCAAGTTGAAAATGAGAACAAATTCTGGCTTTTTCCGGAATGGCAGAGATGTACCCACTTACTTTCGGCTTCTCCATCTTTTGGGAAGCGGAAGTATCGAATCCTCTTTGTGACATGGTTTTTGCAGCTCGCAACAGCACATCCGACCATTTTGCGTTGATGACAAGAAGAAGCACGTAAAACCTCGCAAAAGAGGTACAGGGAACGTGAAGGAATAAAAAGCTAAGGGGGCACCTGGAGGACTCCCGTGTGCTGCTCGAACCGCGTGACGTCACCAGGAGACGACGTATTGCGGCGGGGCTGCGCGTGAGCAGACCCGTCTCGTCGACGATCTCGAGCACTCAGGACGTGAAAACGAAGCCGAAAGGCAGACGTCGGGGTCATCACGCCCCGTAGCCACGACGGAAGTCTGCCAAAGCTGCAAATGATATCCACCATGTCATCGAATTAAACCTTTTCAATTGGCCATATCACATGGGCATTTCCGCGACTCGAGTGTCAGGGAGATGCTTTCACGATAGAACGTTGGATGCAAATGAGGACAGGGCCGGAATTCATATAGACAAAATATGATTGATTTACAGAAGGGGTCTGAAACTCGTTTCGGTGTGCCGAGATCGGACCTCTCTACTGGCCGAATATATTTTTGTGTATCCGTTTCGGGCGATCATCGACGATTACCCGAAACGATCGATGGGATGTTTTTCTCATCGCCATATAAATAGGAGCAGTTGGCAAGTTTCTCTCGGAGCATTAACATGTTTTCCCCTCGAAACGATCACGCGGAACGCTGCATCGAGCCGGTGTACCAACCGCTCGAGTTCTTCTTTGTGCATCTTTCTTGCATTTACGTTCTTGCCAGAAGTTTCGCTCGTATCCTTTCCAAAATGGGAGTCATAAAGGACACAGAGAACGGACATGAAGAATCCCAAAAGAGACAGGAAACTGCTTACCGACAAAAATACGGAGCGATCTCACGTGTCTTTCCCGTCTTGAAGTGGGAATTCTCCCGATGCCAAGCCAAAAGCTCTCCAGAGATCATTCCACCTGCTTCTCCCGAAAAACAATGACAAGGTAGACTCGATAGGAATCGAAAGGTCGCAGATGGGAAGGAAAAAAAAAGAATGTGACCATGACTCGAGCAGATAAAAATGTTGTGGGTCTGAGTTTAAAAGATAGCTTCATTGCAGTCATAGATTTTTTCCGTCTCTTCTGAGTCGAAGCACTCAAAAGACATCAATTATAATATGAGATAAGAAATATTCAGTCAGAGATCTCACATTATTTTCATTCCTAAAGACATCTCTCAGTTGAGATTCTCTGACGTCAAAGCTATAAATCTAACCTCATGATTCATAGCCATTTTTTTTTTTGCTTTTTAAGGATCTCTCCCTCTTTCTCTCTCCCTCTCTCTCTCTCTCTCTACTCCACCCCATATCTCCTCAGGGCACATCTCGGTTACCCGAGAATGGGGCATCTCAGAAGCTGGCGTTCTTCTCTTTGTGATAGTATGAGCCATGTTCGTGCTTGTTCTGGCGGCGATCAAGGTCTACGGTTGTCAGCGGCGATGCAGCTTCGAGATTCGGAGAGATACTTTCTCCATTCATATTCCGAGAATTAATTTCGAATTTCCTGGCAAAACTTTCACACGAAGACGTAGATCGATGAAAAAGCTATCGAATGAAATTCTCGCCATCATTCGTACAAATGTGGGATTCTCAGCATCCATTTCCAACCCACCAGGCAATGGGACGTGACGAATTGGAAGTGTGTCAGCAGTCGCCGATCGACTATATAATCATCCTGACAGACGCCGATGTCGAATGACCGCCTCGCAGCTCATCTTGCCGAATTTCGCCGAGTAAATGATGCTTTCCTCCGACGGATAGTGGCCTGTAATGAATGGTGTGCTCGCGCCTTTGAATCAGAGCCGAAACGACGGAGCTCGGAGTGACGATTGCCTGGATCACCTCGACCGCAGACGGTCATCGGCAAGTAAAGCCAGGTGAAGGTCATGCGCATCACGTTTTTCGAATGTGTGGGGGGGGTCCTTCCTGAACAGACGGTGCCTCTGGGCCAAAATGCGAATGGTGATATTTACCCGGACGTCAAATATGCACAGGATTGTTCAGTCTTCAGAAGACTGGTTCCCCTGCCTGCCTAACTACTTTGCCCATTTTCTGCGGACTAATAAATTATCTTGGTGCAGGCAACTAATGATTACCTACTGTTGTATGCGGGTAGAGGGGAGGTAATGCAAGAACTCCTGGTACAGCTCCCTGGGAAAAATGCTTGAATTTCAAAGATTTAACTGACGAACTGAATTGAAAAAGTTATTTATCGTATTACTACTTTTTATTATTTTTTTATTTTTCCAACAATTCAATCATAGTATAACTCCCTCACAGAACGACGCAAAACCCTTTTGCAAATGGAACATTTTTCCAGGACCCAACAAGGAACTACAGGAAACCGGCAGGTAGCTCGTAGCAAGATGACAGAAATAATCCGAGGATATATGGGATATCTACTATGGTTGGGAGTGACTCAAATCCCAAAAATTATTGAGGAGGGATCAAGTATTTGACTCGAGATAAGACACGCCGTCAGACGCACGAGCTGAGGTGGCGGTCTTTCGTCATCGACGCATGATAGCGAGGCAACCTCATATAAGGAGGAATGGTGCAAAGGGAGCATTACAGCTCGATCCCATCCAGTCTGGGAAACTCAGTGGGGACTTTTGAGTTCGTGACGAAGACTGACCCTACTGCCTAACCATGAGAATTCGCGAAATGAATATCTTGCTTGCCCTCGTTGGGTCCTTGACGATTCTCCCACTTACCTTCGCACGGCCACGTGAGTTACCACTACCGTATAATCACAAGTAATCTTGTTCATGAAGATGGGAACATCCCGGTGAAACCCAACCCCAGTGACTTTTCCTTAAGGTAACTCTCTCCCCCCCTCCGCCCCCGAGAACACAAGAACACCTACAGAGAGGGTTCTCCTATCAAATACCTTTTCTCTCCTTGACCTGCTGTTGGGGGCCATAATCGAAATTGACTTTCCAATGGCCGGGTTGAAAGGATGGTCTAGCAATGCCTTCTGCAATTTCATAGTTTCATCGGCATTCTCGCTGTATCTTAATCTCGCATATGGTATCCAATAAATTATATTCCAGTGTATTGTATCGTAACGGTAGATTCATAGCATACCTACATGAGAAGTTGTTCGAATATCTGCATTAGTTGGATTGATTAGTTAAATTTTTTATGCGAAATGAAAAGGTCTCATGTAAAAGATTCCAAGAGATTAGAAAGATTGATAACGGTTTGAAAGGCGTTGAGGGAAACATTGAAGATTATGCCAGTGTTGCCAGATAGTCCTGTGAAAGAATCATATACTTCACCGAGAAAATATCGGAAAGGGATTTAAAAATGTGTTAATACGGGCATCAGAACTGCCTAGAATGACGAGTCCCCACACCTAACAATACCTTCTAATTCTACAATTCTTTCTAAGGAAAGTCATTTTTAGGAATTCGGAAAATGTATATACTTTTCTTTTTGCATAAACTCACCAAGAAGCAAATTACCAATGGTTAATTTTCACTGACAATGAAGCTCGTGCTAAAAGTTGCCTAATTTGACAGTCTTATATTAGCAAGGCTTTGGCTCGGGAGGGAGGAACGCGTGTATGGAATCCATGAGACTGCCACTCAGTTATTACGGGTGAGCCAGTGTTTGTGGCCATAGCTGCTACCCCCTCCCCTTTTTTTCCTTTCCCTGTGGAAAAGGGAAAGGTTGTTAATAAGTTAAAAAATTTAATTCTGAATATTCCTCAGAATTTGTAACACTTACGCCGCAATGATTTCCTGAGTGCACCCAGTGGACGTTCAGAAGGCGTTAAATGATGACCTTAAGTCCGCAGCAGATATCCAGTGGCTGCACAAAGCATGACCTTTGCTTTCCAGCGTTGATGTAGTATTAGGCAGTAGTGCTGGTAGAAAAGGTTACATTGACCCGAAAATAACATGGGCATCCGATACAACCAAGTATCTATAGTATCACTGTGATTCCCAATCCCTGAATGTTCTGTTTTCATGTTCCTAGCAGAGGAGAGAGCAGCTCTTGGAGAAATGTGTAATCCAGGAGATGATAAACCCTGCGACGATCCTAATGCAGTGTCCGCCTGGCGGTGCTTTGTCAATATGCAAGTGCAAGAAGGGATACAAGGAAGATGATGGCCGTTGCAGTGAGTATCCGGGCCTGAAATCTTTCATCCTTGATAGGCTCATAAAGAAATTTAGACCTAATGATCTGATGTCGGTTGTGCTTCTGATAAGGATTTAGCAAAAAAAAAAGAAATAATGAATGATGACCTGAGTCATGATGGAATCCCGAGTTTCAGTGCTTTAGGGCGAACAGTTCTCGAGATATTCTGACCCAAAATCAACACCCCGGGGCAAAAAGTGATCCAATTGGGTCAAAGGGCTATCTTTCATCCTAATTCAGCCAGAAGTTTTTTCTTAGGCTAAAATTAATGCCAAGGTAAAGTAGAATCAGATTTCCTTGATGCACTTTCCTGCATCTGTGTTTCAGAGAAGATTTGAGCAGAGCAATTTTGAGAAAATATTGCTCAACTCCATTCAGGATATCCCTGATGTAAGTGTCAAACCCCAAAAGTCAAATCTTGAAGCCAACATTTTCTGAACAGGCAAACGAGAAACCGAGGGGATATATCAATTGCGCCGTCGCATTCACATTATGGGGGGAAAATGCGCCATGAGATTCTCCCGTTTAGACTGGGAACTTTCCTTCCTTGACTCCATGGAAATATTTTTCTCACCCTTGTTACATTTGAGCAATGTGGTGGACCTGTCATATCCATGGGTATAGAGGATTGGTCTCCACCATGAATACAGCAGTGGAAGGAAAGGAATTTTCAAGGAGCCATGGGAGTAGGATTTCCTGTCCAAACAGAGGAAATTAGTGCCTCTTCTCCAAACGTGTCATTCCTCTCTTCGCTCTTCGACATCAAACCGATTGATGTTCCTGTTTTCTCTATAGGGCGTCCCATCTTGCACGAAGATTGCATGTCTAACCCAGGATGTGAAGTAGAAAATTCAGAATGTGTGGAGTCAGGCACCACAGACTCAACCACTTCAAGCACGACAGAATCAACTACCACACTGGATCCGACCACCCAGGAGGACTCAACTGCGACGGAGGACTCAACTGCGACGGAGGACTCAACTGCGACAGAGGACTCAACCACCATAATGTCAGCGTCCCCCAACATGATCGCAAAGAACTACGTATCAGGTAAGGTACTCATTGACTTATATCCAGGCTTTCGAGATGATTAAAGGAATAGATAATGTCGAATGTGGTAGGTTTTTCCAGTTTGATGGCAGCAAGAGAACGAGAGGTAACCGACTTGAGTTGCGCAAACCGCAGGTGCGGCTCAGGTCGAGACAGGAATTCTTTACTTGCAGAGTGGTGAACGCGTGGAATGCTTTAGATGACGAAGTAGTGGCTGCCCCTTCTTTGTCTATATTTAGAAGAAACTGGATGCTTTCATGGACAGACAAAAAGGTGGGGGGCAATGTTGACGTTAGGTACTAGACAGTAAGCAACTAGGATAAAACCGACTTAAGTTGTGCAAACCGCAGGTGCGGCTCAGGTCGAGGCAGGAATTCTTGACTTGCAGATTGGTGAACACGTGGAATGCTTTAGATGACGAAGTAGTGGCTGCCCCTTCTTTGTCTATATTTAGAAGAAACTGGATGCTTTCATGGACAGACAAAAAGGTGGGGGGCAATGTTGACGTTAGGTACTAGACAGTAAGCAACTAGGATAGTAAAAAAATACAAATATATTTAGTTTAAGAGGGTTAGGTCTACCCTAATATTAAGGAACGCTCGACCTCGACACGTAATATCGGAATGGGCGAAATCGCCTCTTGATATCACTATCTTGAATATTGAATCTTGAAAATTCACAATGTCGAACAGCATGAATTTTCAAAATAGAATTACTGACATTGCTTAATTGTGTTTTCAAGGAGTTAACAAAAAACATTACGGGTGGGACAATTTTGGTTTGAAATGTCACCTGTCATATGTACGACCTTGTACAAATTTATGAAGCTGTCTCCTATCATGGCGCAGCAATACGCATCAGCATGGGCAATTGCAGTCCTGTACCTAACAGGGTAAGCATGCAAGATATGTATTACGGGTGGGACAATTATGCTTGACATTTGCGGGTAAAAGCCAAAAGCAATTACTTTTCAAAAGTGCATCAGAACTATGATGGTTCCAATCATGTTTAATTCCTGTAGGTATGAGGATGTCTTTAGGTGAAAAATATCAGCTCACCATTTTCAACGCGCCTTTTTATGACCTTACCGTTACAGGTGGGCCAGAAAAAGGACCAATTCTGAGGATACCTATAATCCTTGGCAAAGCTAGAGAGACACTGCCTCTAATGGCAGTTGTGCATTCTGAAAATGAATGTTTGGAATGTTGCGTGATTTGTTAAAAAAAAATCAAAGAAAATGTATTTGGCAGAGGAATTGTCTGAGTGTAATAAGGCAAAGACGCGTTACAGGCGGGGCAAATGAAATTTTCTTCATTAGGTGTGTCCCAGAAAAATGCTTCAAACACTGCTAAAGCATATTGAAAGAATTGCTCTGGCGTGACTTATTGATATTTCAATTTTCGACATGATAGGTTCATTACTGTCCGAGTTATGGAATATAAAAGTCTGAAGACACACAATTGCTTCAGTTTGGCCTGATTTTATAATTGTAAAGCTCTACGACTTCCCATGTAACGTTCAGGTCAAAAGAATTGTGTCACTTTACTCCCGAGAAGTCAGACTCAGCCTGTTCAGATCATTTCTTTCTCACTCGATTAAGAATCCAAGTGACATGGGAAACGCAGGGAGCATGAAGTGATTAGTAGAACCTTTTTCCCACTAACCTTCCAGCCGGAATTTCTTCATGTATATATGCGCTGTACTACAGCTTCAGAGAACCGCGTCGAGGAACTCTATTGTCTTCCTATGAGATATATGTAAGAAACTGGGGAACTGCGCTAGAGTTACGGATGACTCATTTCAGTAGAATCAGGGAGTCCTTCTTACTAAAAACACTTGGGCTTCAGCTCACCCGGTTTTCGAAACTTTTTCATACAAATTAGCTGCACATACGTCTCTGCTGTCATGCTCCGCCCAGTGGAGGGATGATGGATGAGTAACTACGGTACAAGCGTGACTAGATCGGCCCACTAATTTGCCGATGATGAACCAGGTTATGGACCGAGGAAAACTTTTGATTCGATGAACATGGTAAATCGTGACATTTTGAATCGCTGGGTGCCACTCTCGTAGCCTAGTGAGTTTGGGGGTTTCCCCAATCAACGTTTGTACAAGAAGAGACGCAGATTTCTTAATCGATGGATGCTACGAGTCGTAATGACCAATGTAGCATCCTAATAATTCATACGTTAACTGCGAATGGTACCCCAATGCCCACATGAGCAGAATAAAGGTACGAGCATAACCAACTAAATCTGCTTCTTCCTTTGAAGATATACTGCCTTTTGAATTATATAACTCAATTGACAAAGCGCGAGGAGTGGGGAGGATTTAAGTTCATGGACAGATTTTGCGCTGTAGCATTTAGAAGCATTTAGAGAAGCATGTGATTCTACCGTAAATTGATCACAAAATCAAGGATCGAAACGAAGACGACATTCTTGATCTTCCAGGCTACAACAGCTTTTTTCTTTTTCACTCATTGCATTCCATGGTCCAGCTTTCAGAATTATAGAATGAAAACTGAAAAAAAAATTTCGAGACATCTCACTGAAAAGTTTAGAAAACTCTGAGATGGACCTTTATATGTCTAATTGTAGATAAGGCTACCGCTACCACCTAGAGATGCTTCCTTGACCCTCCGGAGGAATCCCACCGTGGGGTGACAGTACTAGCAAAGTACCATCATCAATCTAATATAAATGCGATCCCGCCATCAAATCGATATTAACTCTCGTTGAGACTTTAGAAATGAAGGAGATACTGTAATGCCCAAACGTCGACAATTCAACGCCGATACAACGTATTTTCAATGTTAAACTGTATTCCACTTTAACATTGCTTCGACATCGAGGTAACCTTTTCCATAACATTAAGGCAACAATATTATGTTGTAAAATCAACCTATGTTCAATGAATACGAATGGTTGCTGTGCCGAATGGGCATGACTATGAATGATATTCCCAGGAAAATCCCTTTTCATTGCTCAGCTATCCTCGTTAAGAGTTCGAATTTATTGAATGATGCTTGTAATCTTGTGAAAAAGCCATGGTATCAATGACGCTGGACGTGTGACTGTCACAAACGGGGGTTTCGGTATTACCTCCTCTCAAGATGTCCATCATCTCTTGACGCGTTTTGTTTTCATAGATGGTGATACGAAATCCAAGGGCTTCAAAAGTAGATTGAAGGACACGTACATCTTCCTCCGACCCCACTCGTTCCTCAACTCCTCGATGGGGCTGGAATTTTTTCATGTTGAATATCATCGCTTTCCCCCTTTTGATAGTGTGCACTCCTTCTGCCGGACTGAAGCGAAGAATAAATGGGATGGTAGCAAATAATCACCAGCTAGGCCTGCACAGAGGCCATACAGCAGTTCATAGGGACCAACTGATTAAAATGCAGTACTGCATGAAATACTTATTTAATGCGCATCTTCCCGAATGCGTGAATTGGTAACTTTTATTACAGAACCAGTTCTCTTGAAGAGCAGTGACGGACTTATTTGGATTCATGTTATTACACAGTAATAACATAAATCATACGTAACTCAGCGACAGGACGCTTGTTTTAGAAAAAAAAATCAGCTTGGAAAAAACCGAATAAACCTCTCTCGCCTTTCCATGTGCTTCAATCTCTTCCATTTCACTTGCTTAACAGTTCTGTCCCTCGTTGAATTGACTTCAGACAGAGGAGAAAATGTGAACATCTTGGTGATTGCTAGAATATTCTACACGTCGCCAATGCTTTCGAATCTCGGAGTCCTAAGTTGCTTTTACATGAAATGTCCGTTCTTTCAATTTCGGCATTCCTCAGCGTCGAGAGAAAAGAGACCGCAGATTCTATTACCTCCCTTAATGCTGATAACTTCGGGAAAACTCATGAGGTCATGAGAAATTTGCTCGGCAGCATCCGAATTCCCTCTAAAAACTCGTCCCTCAAATAAAAAGTGGCAAGGCTGACTTGATATATCTCACATTGCGTCATTCTTTGTCTTCCACGCGGCTTCAGGACTACCGGTAAAGCGTTGAAATTTCTATTGCAAAAAAAAAGGTAAAGCAAAAGAAAATTGAACAAAATGATGAAAATACGCTGACTAGTCAAATGAAAACGACGAGGAGTTCATAAAAAATAGAATGTTGGAACGATCCAGGCGAAAGATACGCGGATTGTAGTGTATGTTGAGATGTTGAGGAGAAATAGGTTGACTAACTTACATTGGATGCGCAGTAGATGCTGAGCAATAGCACTGCCAATATGGCGTATCATGTGCATGGTGCTTCCAGAGAATGCCAGCGTGCAGTAATTCAGTTTTTCATAGCGGTAGGATCACACGGGCTGAAATTTGTCACCGAATGGTTAGGTTGTATGCGGAAGATTGTGTCACAACTACGGGTGTACGAATGGGCTGCACGTTTTCCTGCGGGACGCACATCCTTGAATGATAATCCGTGCCCAGGACAAGCTCACCAGGTGATCCCAAACGAAACGATCGCCAAGGTAAATGAGGCAATCATTCCAATATTCCGGATCATTCCAATATTCTTTTTTAATTTATTAATTCTTAGTCGTTTTCATTAGTCTGACCCTCTACTTTTTTTTTTCTCGAGTCAATTTGAAATTAATAGGAGAAAAAGACACAAAGTTTAGCAATTTTCTAGAAGAGGATTCAACAAGGCGTGCCATGAATTGTCTTAACAGGTACACCATTCTAATATGAATTCAAAGCAATTCCATTTCAGACTGGTACCAAGTCATAATTGTAAGAGAAAAATATAGGGAACATTCTTGCCATCAATGCTATCAACGCTGACCTGCTTGTAACAGTCTGGTAAACGTTGCTGTTTGAAATGGTATAGTGACTTACGGGACACGATGAATATGCAATTTAGAAATTTCATTATAGGCCCACCCGTCTGGTGAATCTCCTGCCGCTGGTGTTCCCCCATCATTTTCTTCTCTTGTTTCCCTCCGATGAGAATCATCGCTGGAATTCTTTCTTTGTTGCGTGTTTTTCCTGTGTAATCGAAAAAATGTCTATAAAATAGTCGACACAAACAATCGATTCCACGTCCTTACCAAATTTGGCCTTTCTACGATATTTTCCTTTCAAAAACGTAAAAATAACTAATAGTGACTCATTGGGTCTTTCATTGTCCTGAACTGCTTCTTTTGGAACCTGACGGATTAGCGGCGGAGCTTCGAGTCCTATTCATAGTCCCCACATGTTTATGTCTGCTGAAGAATAACAAGGAAGAAACAAAAAAGCGACAACCTGATTTCCATGCCGATCGTCCTCTATCTACTCTTCACCCGTAATATGCTATCTTAATCGTTCGACTTTCTGGAATAAAGGCAGTTCATTGAGGATTACCAATGTCAGCCACAAGGGAACTTACTGTCCTCATCCTGTCTGACAGATCTGTTTCGGGAAGAACTTTCAGTGAAAAGGCTTTTACTTCCATGGAATACTCAAAATGAGAGCGTTAGTTTTGAAGCCATAGTTTATTGCTCATATTTATTCCTCGGTCTAATGCTTCTGCACGTATCTGATCAAACGTGAGCCAGGTACCACAGGGATCAAAGCCTCTGCAGCGTACTTATTGACTTCGTTCGTAGAACAGATAGGGTGATGAAAGCCAATTGCCCCCCGTGGTGACACTCAATCCAGGTCCAGAACACGATTCCCCCTTTCATTCTCAGCTTAAATTTCTGGACGAAATCAGGTATTGCTATTCCCAGCGCTCAAGACACATCTCGCAAATTTCACTATTACACCAACATTTCTCTGGGGCCTGTCTCAATGTGAAGTGCCATATCGATGGCTTCCTACCCCTCACTATGTCACCCCTTACGGAAATGTCCTATAGGTAACCTATAGTTATTTCTTATAGGAAACCTATAGACTCTCTTATAGGTTTTTGAAACAAGAAAAACCAATAGGATCCTATGGGATCCCTATAGGGTCTTATACGTCTCCTAACCTATAGGATTTTTTGGGTGTCGAAACCCAGGCATTACGACGGAAAAGGCGACCGGGGGTTAATATTGGCGCAGCATTTTGGTATAAATCAAATACGGATTAGGAGTTTTCCCATGGTAGAGACACTTGCATTATTATACCAGTACTGCGGGGTATGCCTTTTTTAATGGCCCGACTCCACATATGTCGCTGGATTGCGCATCTACTTCTTTCGGTAGAGAGAAGTACTATTCGTCTCTCGACCTAAGGAAACAGTAGACAGAACCTGCGAACATGTTTCTTGACTGAAACTCCATTCGGATTTAATCCACTCATTCTCGTACGTGGTTTTCAGAGGGAATAAGGGCATATTTCTTGCCTGGACTCCATGATTCTATCTGGCAGATGAGGGTGACAAATAAGGAAGTGTCGAAGTTTATTGATTGCTACAATGAGGCAAGGCGAGACAATTGGGGATGTCCAAAACTCTCTTGTGAGAGATGATTCCTTGGGTAAGGGGAGGGTACTTTTGTGTCATTTGAGAAATACGAGAACCCAATACTTCCATCTAGTGGGCTAGAGGAGAACTTCAAACGGAACCCTATTGGCCTATAGGGTTCCGTATAAGCCCCATAGGGAACCCTATATGTCCTATAGAGAATCCTATGGGTCCTATAGGGAACCCTATAGGTTTTATAGGGAACCCTATGGCTCCTATACAGAACCCTTCGGGTCCTATAGGGAAACTATAGGATTCCTTTAGGTTCCTATCGGATTCCTATAGGATTCCTATATATTCCTAAAGGAATATATAGGAATCCTATTAGACATTTTCGCAAGGGACACGAATATGGAGCATCTTTAACACCTATCGCACTATGTCCTTCGTATGGAAATCCCTCAGGAGTATGGATGACCCTTTCCTCGTTCGAGTCGGCACACTTCGAGATACATGAAAACTTACAGAGGCCGCCCTTTACCTTCCTTGACCGTCGTCATGACTGTCAAACGTAACTGATTGAGTCCCTCAGCTCCTAACATTATTCTCACATATTTTCCACTTGTGGATCCAAGCTAAATCTTGGTTATAATTCGCCATAGGAATGCCCTGTAAACTTCAAGTGTAGTTAAAGTAACTGAAACATTTCAATGATGAGCAACGCCAACTTTACGTGCTTTTTAAAATATATATTATCATGGCATTAGGTAAATTCCATGCCCATCTTAGTCTCTGAAATGTTCGGGAGAGACGTTGTCCATCCACTCAACTTAATCGCTTCCTTTTGTGTGTGCATTATTACCAATGAATTACGAAAGGCCTTCCTTATCCGTGAGAAGTGTGCAGGTATAGTTCATATTTTCCCACTAGTATGCAATACCTCTTTCTTCCACTGCAAGCGAAATCTCGAGCACTTCATTCGTACAATCAAGTGATCCATTCATATTAATTTCTATTTCCCGTGAATCAAGAAGCATTCACACGTGCAGTTTATAGTCAATGCCTGCTTTTTGGTTCATTGAAACGCAAGCAATGTTAGCGTCGTCCTTCTCTATCCACTAAGTGCTCTCAGGCGTGCACGTTATGTTGACAAGTTCATTTTTCGATGTTGTACAATAATTTGCTCCTGTCGGAGCGATCTTCTGCGCTAAGCTTTGCATCCAAGCAGAATGCTTAAGCGATGGCATCTCTTTTAGAGAAGGAAAGTTAACCTTGGAATAAGACACTCGTCACTCAAGGGATGTTGGGACTTCCATTACCTTGTATGTTTTGTGGCTTGCGCTTGTCCCGTTGAGGTAGGTCCAGGTTCTAAGGGGTCGAAAGGTGCCCTAGGGACATATCCATTTATTTTCGATGTTTCTCGGCCTTTCAAATTCCATGCTGTCATAACAGGAAAAATATGGAAAGTATACGAGGTATTTCCTGATCATGTTCTGCATTTTTGCTGTTATTCAGGGAAGCAACATTATTTTACCAAGAGACATCAGGGCGAACAAAAGCCTCACATGTCATAGCGAGCAGGATGTCTTCACTCTCAGTACGCTGGAAGACTTCGATGAGTGGGTGGTAGAATCGCGCAGGATTCTTTTTGGAGAGGGTGGAGAAAATTTGATAAATCCGTTCCATTTGGTCCTCGATGCCCTTGATGCGTTCCTCCTCCCAGAATGTCAACACCCCTTCCATCCCCAAATGTTTAAGCAGCCGGTTGGCATCCAAGTGTTTGCCTCTGTCATCCCTTAACTTGATCATCATGGATCCCCAAGTGTCCCAAGCTTCGGGAGTTCTGTACGTCTCCATCACCTCGACAGCCATGTTTTCGTCGAGTTGATGTGGAATGCTCACAGATGTCTCTTAACCTTTAAGAGACAATAGAACACGAACCATATGCACTATTTAAACTACCTGAGGAATGATTGCACTAAGTTTTATTAAGAACGGTCCAGAATCTAAGTGCTGAAAACCTAGTTCACGAGTTCAAAAGTTCACGACCAAGTTCACGGTCTAAATGTGACATAATAACGAATGGCAAGGGTCCAACGCAACGTGTGCTTCGAATACGTCTAGGTCACCAAGGCAAAGCCATTTCCCGCCCAGCTTGTGATGTTCACTTCCCAAAGCCATGTTCTTACTACAACAGCAGCCACAAGCTCTGTGCTTTTAGTATTTAGAGCAGTGGTTCTCAAACTTTTTTCTGCATCGCGGCCGATCGAGCTTTTTAATGCTGCATATTTATGCGACCACACATTTAGAAACATCCAAGATTAATGGAACCGTATGATGCAGAATAGTGAAAATTATGAGTACGGAAATGACGCTTTCTTTCTTTCTTTCTCTGAGCTCAAATGATTCCTTCGTTACTCATTTTTGTTCCTTTACTTTTTCGAACTTCCTCTGAAAGAACTCGTCTGGTTTATCTTTTAACACGTTGACGACCAGCCTATTTTTGCTTGTCCGCCGCGTGGGACCACGCGCATTTTTTTTGTCAAAAAATGCGTCCTGCCATCAGGACGCATGGTCCCAGAAAACATTTTTTTGCCGAGTTTTTTTAAAATGTTGATTTTTTTGGAATTTTTATCAGTAATTACGAAATCATAATCTTCTGGAACGTTCTCAACAGTTCCAGAGGGTATTCANGTTCTCAACAGTTCCAGAGGGTATTCATTGAAAAAAAATCTGCATCCTGGCATCAGGACGCATAGTCGCCAACGTGTTAATGTCAGGTGACTAGGATTCAATGTCCTTTCAAATATGAAGGCTACATGAAAGCATTGGCCATCAGTAAACAATAAACTTTGCATTTCGGTTTCATACTTCCTGACACTGAATCCACATGAAAGTATGAATAATTATGCATCTGGATTGGTGCTAATTTGGCTTTATTTGCTGGAGGAAGCTCACTTCTGTCTCAAAGACTTCGCCAGGGGTGCTACCATTAGTTAATTTTGGTAAATGTTAAAATTAAAACAACGAATATACAATGTAAAAAATTAAATGATTAAACTACAGGAAATTATGGATGAGATGAACTTTATAAATTCCCCCCCCCCCCAAGAAGAGAGAGAGAGGGAAATATATTGACGACTTAAATTGTCCTAATGTTTCCCACTTTTGAATTTGTAGTGTTATAACTCTCCAACGAAAGGGTGACCGAAAAAGGTCAACACAGCTTTACATTTTGTACAAATTTATTCTTCCGGTTATTTTCATCCAAGCATTTTGTATTTTTTGGCAATTTCCCCCCCATTTTTTTCGGTCATCCTTTACATATGGTACCTGAAATTCAATACCCTTTTTTAGATAGCAATGTTTCTTATATTTTATAATATACAAGCTGCTAGCCTAGCTATATTGCTTCACCATATCCTGAGAAATGTTAAAATGAAGCTTACCCGTTAGGATAGCTTCTGTCTTTCTTATTTTGTAACATATTCCATTCAGGTTACTTTATGTTAGCATTAACGTTGCCGCAACTCTCCCGAGCATGCTTTCAATCGGCTTGAATAATTTTTTTTGTAAATGATGTTCCATTCGATTTCCTATAATTCGTGCATGAGCCTAGGGCTTGTCACGTGCGCATTCAAGCGCCCCTTTAAATGATACCATAAGTTATTGATGAGATTAGGGTAAGGTAATGTGGCAGGCATTGCAGGAGTTTTACTTTTTATTCCTGAGCTGGTTGCAATGTTACTTGGCCGATTGCCTTGGATGTCATTAACACATTGTTGACCGGGTGCCTGGACTTGTCACTTCCCCTGTGGACCGGACAATTTTCAACTGAGAATACTAGAGTGCACTAGATTATAAAAGCATACATAAATGTTGAACTAGCCAAGATTTTATCTTGAAATTTGGTATGAGTGCCGCTAGTAGTGCTTGAGAGTATGGTATCTTTGGAAACATGACCCTTTACTACGAGATTACGCGTACTACGAGATTTCTCGGGGCCC